AATTTAAAACATATTTGGTTTTGAATAAATCACAATAATATTTTTCCTGTTTTTGCTGAGATAAAAATAATTAACAGACAAAACTAATCAATATCTTAATAAATACACTAAGGCTATATGGCTTTAAAAATACTACATGCTGTGCAGTGGTGTTTTATGTTAAATGTTAGCATATACATTTATCCACCTGTGTGTCTAGGGTGACACTGACCTGATGCAGGGCACGTTTCCTCGAAGGAATTCTCTGGGTCCAGCACACTCTATATCATCCAGTGCAGTGCAGATAACTCGGGTGTGGTTCACTTCTTTCTGAGTCTGGCCACCCCACTTTAAAAAAACAAAACAACACAAAACTCAGCGCTCTGTAATTAACAACATGATATCTGCTTTGAAGACGACACTTACCCCCACACAACCATAGCCCAACTCCTGAAAAGCACTGTAGTTGCCTGCATGATCCACAGGCTCTTGACAGTAGATGAACTCCTCCGGCCTTCATTATACATTGAATATACAAAGAAAGATAGAGACTGATGAATGTCATACTGGTGTGGACATTACTAATAACCTTCCAGCGTGCAGCTGTAGATTTCCAGGAAGTAGAAAACAGATGTCAAATTTCATTCATAGATCTTATTGTAAACAATCAACTTAAGTAGTAGCAATATTGATAACGTTAATTGTTAGGACATGACTTGCAAGATATTACCATTATAGGGGCTAATTTTAATCATACGTTATGAACATAGACGAGAGAAAGTCAAACAGTTGGCCTTGCTTTAAGCGACTACGTTATATTCTATAAATATCAAACATTTTAGTGTAAAAAAAAACCCCAATTTTTTTCTACTTTGGGTACTGGGCTGTCGATGTAGTTAGCTACCATCTAACGTTATATGTGAGCACAAGTTAAACTCAGATTTCTGAAAGCAATGAGCTAACACTTAACATGCTAATTGCTAACGATAGCATTCCGCAAGATGACAACAGGCTACATGTCAACGTTACTTACAGATAACTGCAGAGGACGACTGGCGAAGGTGGTCTGTACTCGAATTCTGTATTATTCGGATTTTCTATTTCATGTTTCACTATTTCGGACGGCTGCTCGCTGAACGGGATTGCGGTAACGCTAACCCCCTGGCCAGGAGAAGCAGCAGGAGTCTCCATTGTCGTGGAGTTTTGGGAATAAATTCCTTCCAGACATTGCAAAAAAATCACCGCCAGTAGTAGCAGAAATTGCCCGCATAGCAGAATATAGCTCACTGAAATCATGGTTACCCTCACAATACGACATTAATCCTAATTTTTAAAGTCATTTATGTTTAACGGTAACATTTAGCTAGCTAGCTAGGAAGGTTTGTTTGGGTCGTATCGATGTCTCCTGATTATGATGTGGTGAGAAAGCGCCTGGAACGAGAACATGCAGGGAGTCTTTTCAGATACGTCACACCCACCGCCATATTGCATCGGTCAATGTGCCCATTTCAAATCGTGGTGTTTTTGGATGCTGTTTATAATGTTCTCTGTTTTTTTGTCAGTCTTATGTAAAGCACTGTTTGAAACAGTTTGAAAGGTGTTACTGATTCAATAACTGATTGATTGAATTACTGGCGCACTAGTGTAAACAGGGTAGAGATCGATACATGTGTAACTGACTCTCACTTCAGTGTAAAATGATGACGGATTTTAGCATTTGGAGATCTTTTTTATATGTGACTTAGCCTACCCTACATGTTTACTTCATGTGTTTCCTAGTGCATTGGTGTGGCTCACTGGTGTGTTTTTCATCATTTTTGGAGGACAGTGGACGTCTACGTCACAGATGAGTAAGCTAAACCAGGGTGCATCATTAGTCTCCATATAAATTTGTGGAAAATAAACAAAAGGTGATGTGGTTCTACATGAACAAGATATCTCAGAACTGTTACTTCACAGGAGATACAGTAGTTTCTCCCCTTTTAATTCTAAGTTTCTCTCACTGGTTTGATGTGGGTGTTGTGGGATATTAAGTTGTGTGAGACATTGCAACTCAAGCACCAGCACCGTTTGTTATGCACATATAAGGAATAGACATTGTAACTGAAACACCAGCATCATTTTCTATGCACTTATAAGGAATACAACTTTCACTCAGATTAAAGCATGAGCATTGTTTTATATAAATGTACTAATAAGGAATATAACCTTCAATTTTAGTAGAAGTAGGTGTGTGTGTTCACTCAATTATTAGCAATATGTGTGTTCATTTAATTACAGAATGTACTACTTTGGAATTAGGGAGTTGTGCTTGGGGGAATATCTTTGGAAAAGTAATGATAATTGTCAGCTGCATCCTGCAGGAATATCTTTGGGAGAGCACTGATAATGTCCAGCTGCATGCTGCAGGAATGTGCTAGAAGGAGGGAAGAATAGTATATAACACACAGTTTTGGTGATGTGACTTCAGATCATCTTTGTGGCTGCTTGATGTATGATCTCCAGATGCGCATCTGTGAAATAAAGGTAATAGTGCACTGTGATATTTGGTGTGTGACTGAAATTCTTTCCACTCTATCTGGACTCGAGATGAAGTTTGGAACTTCAACAGTGTGGTTCAAAGGGAAATGACATGTCACATGCTTCTTTGCACTAATCACAAGTCAGCAACATCAGAAATGATGACAAATCAGGGTGATGACAATAGGTGGGTTCTTTGTTCACTGTCAGTCAAATTTAAGCATGTCTACATAGTCCTGATGAAATTTTTGACTGTTAAAACTTTAACAAAATATACCTAAAATGTGCTTTTTAATTTTGATTTTGGCACATTTTGTAATGAATGTTATGAAAACCAATTACACAAAGAGACTCTTTTAGTATAAACATCTTGTTTCATAATTTATTGTATCAGCCTTTTAATCTTTGAGGAAAAAAGTACATAATCTCATGGACAAATACACTGATACTTGTAGGCATCAATGCATTAAAAGCCAAGAAAGCAAGTGTGTTTTAAGCTAAGTATTTCATATGTCAAATAACATTTCACTAGAGAACAGACCAGAAAGATCATTCTGCTTTTTTCTATTATAGTATACTGGATAATCTGTTTAATTCAATCAGGGCCAGTTCATATTTTATAAGCCAAACTTTGTTAATACATCTGTCTGTATAATGCTTTTGTAAAATGCTTGCACCACAGTGACTCAGTCTTAAGTTATGAGGTCAGTAGGATGCAGATGTATATAGATGAGATTTTACAAATGCATTGATAACAACAAATGGTAATTTTGAAATGTATTTGGAGTCATTCCCATGATAGAACAGCTTTTCAAGTCTGTAGGTGTGAGTGTGTAGACCACATACAGCGACACTTTTAAGAGCAGTAATTCCTCACAAGTCAGAATTTCACCCTGACGGTGACTTGTCTTGACTGTAGTCGATTTCATTTTCATCCACTGAGTTCTTTTGCTTTGTTGTGGGTAGCGTTAGCAAATCAGATGTGAGATATTTCAATCCACCACCACCCAGAGGAGTAACTGATGAAGGTGCAATTGTAGCAGTGAAATAGTTTTGGCTGTGGATGCTTGGGTAGGTTCTGAAATCCACTCTGGACCACAATGGTGGAATGAGGTACTGAGCTGATGCTGCAGAGGGGCTGGAATATGGATAAAACAGAGTCCGTCCGTAGTGTGAAAGGTTCACCAGGTCCTGTTTACAAGAAGACAGTACATACAAATACAATTAAAGAAACAGCTCAGGTCCAGTCTTGACTCCTGACAGGCTGAAATAGTTTATAGTGCTGCCACACTACATACATATACAGTATAATGTAATATATAATACATATATAATGTATACACAACACTTTGCTGAAAAGATTTCTTTTGCATCCACACTGAAGAACTCTAATGAAAGATTTGTCATGTTTGATCTGCCTACATCCATATATATATATAAAAAAAATACCTGCATCAGCATGTGCTGCTGAAAGCTGATAGGAAACCCTGGAATTCCTGGAGTCCTGACAGGTGATGTCAGGCTCGGCCCATTCAGTACTGTTGTGTTCATGGTAGCACAGCTGTACCAGGTGTTCACCTGGTTAGAGTGCAAAATGTTATTGGGGAGACTCAGATCCCTTTGATCTCCATGTAATTCTGGGGAATAGTCACAACTGTGCACAGAACCGCTGCATAATTTGCACAATTGTTCCTTCTCTGAGTCTGATGGCGCACAGCGACCCGCTCCATTAGTTCCTATGCTGATGGCATGGCATTGTCCGGGGTCCATTTCTGTCAGTGTTTCAGCTGGAGACTGTACTGTCCCTTCTGTAAAGGAAACTTCTGGCTCATGTTTAGATTCTTTTTTGTCTTTGTGCTCCACTTCTCCAGCAATGTCCTCACCACTGTCATCTTTGTCGCTGTCACTTTCATGGACATCTTGAAAAAAAATTACAAACAAAAAAGTTAGTTTTAGTTTATGTTTGTAGTCTCAAAAAGTTTTCCATACTAACAAAACAAATAAAAGACTACATGTTTAAGAAGGTTTCTGTACCTGAAGATCTGGAATGGTCTGAATATTGTGGGGATGAATCTTTTACAGGTTCAGGTTTCATGTCAGTCATCCGCATCTCTTTAGACTTTTGTGATGAATGTTGTAGTTTTCTGATGTTACAAAAGAAAGCAAAGGAATCAACTGATAATAGTTTCTTACAAGATAAAACAATTGGCCTGATCATATGAGAAACAAAAGGTCTTTGCAGGCTCACACTGAGTATTTTATGTGTGAAGTTTAAATTTTAGTTTCTGTGTCACTTGTGTTCCATCAAGAGGAATTGTTAGAAATAACATTTTTCTTTTGGACAAGTTTATGGATAAAACAATTTAAATTTTCCCCTGTTTCCTGTGGCTAAATAGACAGGCAGCTGTGTCTCAGGAGGTAGAGTGGGTCATCTCCCTACCAGAAAGTTGGAGGGTTGGTTCCTGGCTATATATGTCAAAATGTCCTTGAGCAAGACACTGAACTCAAAGTTGCTCCTGGTGAAATTGCCAGTGTGTAAATGTGTGTGTACTTGGGAGTGTGAATGGGCAAACAGTGTTACAGTGATTTGAGTGAGCTGCAGTGCATAGAAAAGCACTATACAAGACCAGTTATCATAGACAGATACAATGCTTATATGCAATTAAAAATTTAATTTATATTTTTGAAGGTTCTATCAACATAACGCCCTGGGTGAAAACACCCTGAATTGTTGTGTAATTTAGTATCATTCTGAGGATTAATTGAAATAAAGAAATATGAAATGATGCACAGCAGAGCTGAAACAATTAATGAATTGACAGAAAATTAATTGGCAACTTTTTTATAAGCAATTATTTGTCATTCTTCCTATAGCAAAATGTCTAAGCGCTGGGGTCACTGCTTCTCCAGCGTGAGGATCTGCTACTTTTCTCCATTTTAAACTGATTATTATGGGTGTTGGACTGCTGCTTTACTGTCTTCAAATGGGGAAATTGTTCCTTTGTGAAACTTTTGTGTATCAAAACTGCAGGAACTGGACAATATTAAAAAAAATCCTCCTCCATCACTAAAGCAAATCTGGCTTTTGCATTCTGTGAAAAATTGCAAACTTTTTTTATGTAATAACTCAAAGGATGATCTTACCTCTTTTCTCTTTTTCCGTTTCCTGTGTCTCGAAATCCCTTTGCAAAAGGATTGTTGTCTATTTTCAGCTGTGTGATCTGAAAATCAGTGTAAAGGAGAGAAAGATAAAGGCAAACTTGCTTTGTCTTGTGTTGATTACTTACCTAAAGAATCCCTGCTGTTAATGGTATGAGCTTTTGTTGTTGGTGTTACAGTAATAACCCTTTAAAATGGAGTCCAGTCTCTTACCTTATCATTTTGATAAGCTGTCACTGCAATGAATTCAGTCTCAAGGAAGATGTATGTCCTAAAAGTGCTGTAAGGCAGTTTGAGGATGTCATTTGTCTTGACTATATGAAATCTTGGTTGGTATTTGTGCATCGAATTAAGAATCGTCTGCAAATAAAAATAATGATGTTAAGACCAGATGATGACAAGTGGTGGAAAAGCTGTCATGTGTCTTGCTCTATGATAAATGTTTTAACACTCAAAATCAAAAATATAATGAATATGAAGAAGACGTAGAAAGAATTAGAAAGCACATTAACATAACATTACATTACACAGTAAATCTGCATTTAAAAGCTTGAGAAACTGCGAAAAACTGTGTGCCTCAAACAGAGCAGTAGTAGTAGTCTTTGTTATTGTAAAAATCTTTTACAACAAAAAACTTACAAATCCGAGTTTGTCAGATATGTTGTTGGTCAGTTTCAGTTTATGGAAGGTGACCACTTTTGACATCCACTGCTCGCCTGTGGCCGGACTGTCCGGGTGGATGTACATGCGTTTGGGCATCTCCGGGTCTGCCTTTCCCGCCACCGTCCAGCGGGAGTTATGAAACTTGTATCTGCAGTCATCCGCTGCCACGATGTCCATTAGAAGAATGTACTGGGCTTTTCTGTCCATCCCGGTGCACCGGGCCTTGAACGGCGGAAACATGCGCCTGTGGGGTGGACAGTTAAGAACATGAAGCATTCGTTTATTCAACAACTTTCTATCCGTGCGTAATTATTTGGGCATTCACCGTACCTCCCAGATTTTGTAATGACCATTTCAGTGCCGCATTTGTGGAACTCTCTCCAAAGCTCGCTGGCTTCCAAATAAACTTTCGGCTCATCCTCTGCCACTTCCCTCCCCCCTGGAGGCCGACATAAAGTTGCAGACTGCTCCGGTGACGAAGTGTGAACCATCGCGTCAGCACTGGTATCCAAACTGGGATCTGCTGATCCTCCGGAGGATAAAGCGATAGCAGGGAACAGCGGTTTTCCGTCCATGATAGCCCTTTGAAGGACCGCATCTCCGACTCGTGTTGAAAAGGCTTGTGGCTTCTCGCCATGGACGCACGGCTCCGAGAAGCTTCGCATGGTCTCCAAAAGAAAAACAAACTTTTACGCACGACACTGGTAGGGCTATTTTACGCCACTGTGATGAACGCATCTGCACATTTCTAAGCTCACTAAATGCATTAAAGGTGGCAGCTTTAATACTATTTGTGCCTTTTCTCTGGATGTTGTGTCTTAGAAAAATCATGTGCAGTGGCTCTGATGCCTCCCTCTGTGTCCAAGCTGATTTGGACTCAGTATGACAGTAGTGGGTGGAGTTTCCCTGGTATTACACTTTATGTGCAGGAAAATGCTGTTTCAGTTTTCTTCACAACCTGATGAATCTGGGGATAAATATACTGTAATTCGTTTAATGTATTAACTTTATTCATTATAACACAACAAACTAAGCCTGAACCACATAAGATATTTTAATGAGCCTCCACCCGCGCATTATATCAAGACTGTTATGTGTGTTGCTCTATCTGAGGCAACCCCCACCCCCCACTCATAAACGCTGTAATGGACACCTTAACCACATCAACAATGTAATGTGACAGAACAAAATTCCAACGATCTGACACTGACTTTCTGCCTTCGCACATCATCCCCTGGTTTGATTAGCTCCACTGATGAGGCATGGGGAGGGGGAACGATTGATCCTCGGGTGGGGGGTAAAAATATTAATAAAATTATGCAGATTCATGGGGTATCACATTATTATTGCGAAATTATTATTATTTTGCGGTTTACACAGTAAAATCCAATCAGCCAAGTCCATTGAAATCTTGCAGCTGCTGAATGAACAATACAAAAGTGCACAAGTAATTTATATAATGTATGTATGAATACTTATCCATATAATCTTAATGGAAGTGCAGCTGTCTAATTGAGATTGATAAATGGCTGTTTTTATTAATTTCAGATGTTATGAACAGTTTTTGTGTGGTAAAAAAACTAAGATGATTATGTAAGCAGAAAAAACTATTCAACAAAACTGCTCTTTGCTACAAGAGCAGAGATACGAGATTCACTATTCAAAGTTTAATCCATGTAGCCTGCCAACCGCAGTGTTTCGACTCTGAGTTTCTCCCCAAGTTACTTTTCACTTTCCCACACTATGATTTTTTTCATTTTCACTTGCATGTGTATCAGCTTGTTACACTCTAGATCCCTGATTCTGGTGGGATGTTTTCAGTGGTCCCTCTCTGACATGGATGATAGGGTAGATGTTTCTGAATCACAGGGTGCAAAAACTAAAACTTGCTTAACAGTAAATTGATTAAATCAAAGACATATTAAACAACACTATCACTAATTGGAGATAATGAAATAAATTTAGTTTCCTAAGAAAATATTAATTGCATCAGCCGTGCTTAAAGTTCAGTGTCCGTGACTGTGTCCATTTACTGTACATATGGCTTGTTACAGCTTCTATGTCATGGCCTTTGATTGAAACAATGGTACAGGGTAGCAGTGGTTTTCCTAAAAGCAACACAGTGAGGATTGTATTTCAGCAAGGACCTTTCTGTGAAATCAGGCAATTCCACTCACTGGACATTCTGTTACAGCCTTTCTGATCAGATGCCTAAGCAAGCACACATCTTATTCAGAGGTCGTTCAAGATATGCAGTGGGCGGTGAAGCTGTTGATGACCCAGCCTTTTTCTGGCAGAGAAGCAGTGGAAAACTCAGCCTGTCTGTCAGCCAACTTCAAAGAGCCAGTCAGTAATCTGAAACAGGCCCCAGTATGATGGCAAACAACACCCCTTGCCGTTATTTGTGGGTTTGGCCCACAAGCTGTGTGTGATACCTGTCACTGAGGATAAACCCACAGATCTCCACTGAGTCACTGCCCAGTAACACACTCTCCCTAGTAAAACATTTGGGAGTGGGGATGTGGCCCATAAGGCAGGAGCAACATAGAGAACTGGGAGAAGAATCTTTATCATGTAAAGTTTACCCCAATATCTGCTTGGTTTCATTTTATGAAGTGGGGGACTGGTAGTGTTTAGTGGGAAACAGGAAGTGATGCATTTTAATTCCCAGATTGTTTGGAATAGCCAGAGGATCTGATCATGAACACTCCTGACTAAACAAACATTGACAGGGTGCCACCAGGACAAAATTTCGATTTCACATAATTCAATTTTAATAAATAAAACACAAATGATATTGTAAAAGCTGTAATAGAATGAAAGCAGGGATTAAAGTAGGATATCTAGGTAGAGTGCCAACTATTGTTAGTTATTACAATAGTTGATTGTAGCAATTCAGTAGGCCCGCACTCCAGAGATGTATTCATGTCATTTGTCTGTCTTCTTCCTCTTTGTATTCTTTGAAATAAGGGCTAGTCTAGAAATAGGTCTGTAGTTTGTTTTTCCGTAGCAGCAGCTCTCAAGACATTCACTGCAGTAGAAAACAAACATACCTTTGTCATATAACCAGTTATGGAAGGCTTCTAACATAATAAAATGAATTTAACATAATAATGTAATTAGTATAATAACTATTGTTTAATGAGGAATGCAGTAATTATGATTTTAATTCTTCTTTTACAGTTAAAAACAAAGTATGTGGGCAGTAATATAATGTTTTCACTATTTAAAACTGCATCAACTAAAAATTAGCACTCTTCTATCTTCAGGTCTTGTGTTTATTTCCTGCTGATCTGAGATTATATGATGTGTTTTTCAAACCAGTATGGCTCATTTCAAAGATGGACAGAGGCTCCCTGTGCAGGTATAACCCTGGAGCAGACCTGTTAGACCCAAGAGGCCACATTCTGTCTGTGACAAAGAATGAGGCAAAACCAGGGTTAGCATAAACCAAATAGGTGAGAATACATCTGACACTAACTCCTGTTGTGTGCTATATTTGTGAAAGGGCAACTCTGGACAAAGTCCATACCTGATTCTGCCGACATTAGTTGTAGCTGTCTGAAAAGAGCTTATGACACTTTTAACTAATCAAATGCAAATAAGGCAACAACTACCTTGTCTCTGAGATATCATGGAGGAAATGTCCCAAATTCTGTTTTGGCTCCCTGTCTGCCAATATCCAGCAAATATCTTAATTAGCATGGCATGATCTTGGTGTTATACATCCTCTGTTCTGGCTGTGTGGTTGTTATTGCTCTCTGGGTTCCTCTTCTCTGCTGCAGGGACACTCCCTCCTCCCTCTTGGCAGGCTGTTCTGACTCAGGTGCCTTCTATTAGCATCATTGCCAGTCACGCATATAAGCAGTGTCTACCTGGTGTTTCCACTTCAGATCGTCATTGCCTGCTGTTGCACTCATCGTGTGTCTTCCTGCCAGCTAGCCTTTTCAGATCACTCACCTGTCCATGCCTGCACCTGTGTTCTGTTGTGTTTATTGTGTTGTCTGCTTACTTGTCCATGCCTGTAGATTAGAAAGAGAAGTTTGATGCAATTGCCTGCTGTCTGTTTACCTCTCCACATCTGTAAAAGGGTAAATGAAAGCTGCTCTTATCTGTCATGTGTTTGCTGGTCTACTACACCTGTAGGAGTGGACAAGAAGACAAGCAGTATACCTGTTGCCTCCCTACAGCATTTGCGTTCTGTATCTGCCTCTGGTCATCATATACTGTATGCGAAGTTAAGCAGAGCCAGCCGTGGCTGGTGTCTGGATGAGAGACCATTGGGGAAGTGTCTCTGTATTCTACAGCTGTTGGCACCAATAGAGCCACTGGCCAGCTATTCCTGTCTGCATCTTCACCTGCTGACTAGATTACTCTGCTTTTTGTGCTGTTGTACTTTCTACTAGTAAAGACTAATATACTTTTTCCTCTTTGCCTTGATGTGTGCAACTGTAACATGGCAACCAGAAACCTGGATGTAATAGTGACCTCTGATTTGCCAAAGAATTTCTATTCATGTTTCTTCCAGCACTTCAAAGCTCTTGCCTTTACTTGTCCATACTGATATTATAGCCCTTAATGCTTCTGGACATTAATCGCCATTGGATTATTGCAATTAACAATGTTCAGGGTTGAGCTAAATACAAAAATCATATGCTTCTAGCTTGTGCAAAATGCTTTTGATCACATTTTAACAAATTTCTGATCATGGACCCCTACTCCTCTTCCCACATGTCTTCACTGGACACCAGTAGGTTTAAGAAAACCGTCTGGGCTTAAAGCACTTCACAAGTCATATTTATTATCTCTATTAGTTTGTCTTTTTTTTTTTTGTCTTGTTGCCAACGATAGCTGCAGCCAGAGACATTATGTTTGTCCATCTGGTTCATTTGTGTGAATGCAATATGTCAGGGACGTCTTGGGAGATTTTTTTTTTTTTTTACATATTTAGCAGATTTTTTTTTTTTTTTTACATATTTAGCATAAGTGATTAGATTATGGTGGTCAAAGTTCAACATCACTGACTTCACATATGTCCTTTTTTGCTAACCTGAAACTGTATATTTGGCATAATCCAGTTTATTGACAGGTTCATTGTAAAACTGCTGCACATCAGAAAGACTAATATGAATCTTAACCAGAATTAAAGTGTGAAAGTGCTAAAGGTATTAGACTCTAAAAAGTATTTTTCACTGAGCTTTGAGTTTAAACTGTGCTGCTTGGATAGCAAACTTGCTAGAAAGGAAAGATTTGCATAAAGACGAATAGTGTAGTTTTTCCAGCCCTAACAAGAGTATAAATAGTTCTATAGGGGGGTGAGCCAAGAAATTGGATGAGAAAGAGCTGTGGGAGGAGGCACAAGGCCCGTAGAAATCAATTTTGACACATTAGACCTATTAGCTTATTGAGAGGTGCAAGATAGATTGAAGGCTAAATGTTAAGAGGAGCTGCAACTATAAAAGGACCTCTCTGTTGATTAGCTCTCTGGAAAGTGATGATCTTTCAAGATTTACACTCTTATGTCTCCAAGAGCATAAAGAGAAGTCAGCTTCAAATGTACAACAAGCCCTTACATTAAAAGACACTTTAAAGAACTGCATGATGAAATTTAAATACAAGATTTCAAATCATGACTGACATAATGATTGATCATAAATTAAATATATTTGAAAAAAGACATTTGAAAAATACATTAAAGTTAAGAATCTGACAGTCATGCATGATATTTAATATTGAACTTAATATTAAGAGTTGACTAAACATACTGTATTTTTGATATATATAAATCAGCTTTTGATATTTTATTTACTGAAATTATCTGTTTTTAATCTCTTTTTGCCCGGCCATTCCAGGCCTGA